ATGGGAGGCCGGTTATTATAGTGAACAGGGAGGGGGGTGTAATAGGTGAATAACTTCCGGGCGGAAAAGCGTAGGGAGATGGCTGGTAGGACTTGAAAGCTTTCAATTGAGTGGACAGAACCAAACCAAACCGCGAGCTGATGGCTGGAAAAACTGGGCACAACTGGCGTCAATTCTGATGAGGCCGGGGGGGCAGGCAGGCTGTATTGAAGAAGTATCTACAATATGTAGAAGGCTGGCTGAGTCAGAATCTACATACAAAACTTCAATTGGCCCGGTCAGATTGCTGCATTAAATGAACTTTGTTTTTCCCACATGGCGCATCCACGAAGCGCTGCGGCGCGCAGGCAGACAACTTCTACCGGGCTGGTTCCCAATTTACCCCTTGCTTCTTCCAGAACCTGGGGATAGTGAAACGGAGGAAATCCTTCCATCGCTTAATAGCCAGCAGAAATTTGCAGACAACATCAGCACGAATCGTAGTGATGCGAACAAGGGGCAAACGATGTACATATTGTACATACAGGGCGGCGGCCCGGAGGAGTACTTTCGGGTGACCCGCAGCCAATTATGTAGTATGTATGTAGAAGCATTACCAGCACAACCACATCTCTTTCTTTTTCTCATATTTTTTGTCACCTGTGGTCATTTTGGCAAATCTTTATTGGGGGACGCTGATCCCTGGGGCCCCTCAAGAACCCCCATGAAGAGAAGCCACAATCCCCTCAGACTAAATCAATCAGAGAGCAAAATCCATCCACTCAAGCTCTTGTACAGTCTCCTCCTAGATATTTATGGCCACCTTTTTACAGCTCCACACAGGGAGCCCAAAAACTTCAAGTTAAAAGAGTTGGTGGAATGGTGAAAAAATGGGTCTTGAAGAATGAATATGAAAAAATAATAATAAAAAGTAAGATGTTAAAATTTGTGAAAAAGATATAAAAGAAAATCAACTTTTTTTGTTTGGAAACTTTAATTTTTTGTTTGAGTGAAAAGTGAATACACAGAAGGCAAGTTTGGAACATGAAAAGAATGGTTATAAATGAAAAATATTGATCCAAAAAAAAGTTTGAGCATGGTGGGTGGACACCCTGCAGTCAAAATTAGTAGATTGCAGTCAGTAGTAGTACCAGAAGGCCACATTTCTTGATGAATGACCCCCTAGGCACCCTTTTTAAACCACCAAGTAGTCATTTTTTTCTTCTAAATTTTCACTTCTTATTATTCATTTCAGATCTCATACTATCACTTCTGATATTTCATCTTTTCCTGAAAGAAATATTGGAGCTGTCAGGTTTTGTGATTTTCTCATTTTTGCTTTTTTACCAATTTTATAATCTTGTTTTTTATATATATATATATATATTTTTTTTTTTCATATTCATTCTTAACTTTGAGACCCATTTTCCACCATTCCACAAACTCTTGTGACTTGAAGTTCTTGGGAGTCCCAGTGTGGAGCTCAAAACAGATGGCTATAAACATCTGGGAAGAGACTGTACTACTATACTTGCACATACAAAGCAATGCAGACAATTAAAATCCATCTCTTTCACGTTGGTGCAATTAAACATGCATAGAGTAGGAAGTATAATTGTGCCAGGGTTACTCATGATGTGAGTGATGTGAGGGATGTTTTTCAAGACCATGCTGGGAAATTGAATCCAACATATCTGAAGAATCCTTGATTTTTTTTTCCTACAATATATTTCCTTCTCACATCAACTCTCCATGGATCCTGGCTGTCAAGAACAGGACAACTATGTATGTATTGCTGGTTTTGAGCACTGGGGATAATCAACAGACTTTAAGTCATGCTTTCTTTTCCTCTCCAGTATTGAGTTCACCCTTCTAATTGAAGACTGTTTTTCAAGATAGACTAAACTAAACAGTTCATGGGTAATAATTGAATTTCTTTAGCATCTTGATCATTCTTTTTGAGTATCCAGCCTAGTAGCTAAGAAAGTCAAAAAAAAAAAAAAAACTGGATAAACACTGTTTTTTTTTTTTTTTTTTTAGTTTGATATATAATTGTCAGCAATATTTCTTAGATCATAACGATAAAATTATTTTTTTGGAAATCATTTTTCTGGAGATAAATAAAAAAAAATTGTGCACTCAGTCACGATGACAATCAATCAGTTTTTTTTTTCATCTTGCATGTATAACGAGTACAAACAAAAAGCGAGGGGAAGGACAGAGCAAGAAACAAAAAAAACCATTAACCCAATTAGAAAGGAAATGTAATTTCTGAAAAAAAAGGGGGGGGGAGGAGCCGTAAAGCTTGTTTTCTTTTTGATAAACCAACAAGATGTGAGGAAGAAGGGGGAGAGATCAAGCGGAACTAGAAGCAGGGTTCACAGGGATATCAGGAGCAGCAGAAGAAGCAGAAGGAGCGGTGGATTGAGAGACTGATGTCTCGGCGAGGATCTCCTCGCGGCGTTTTTCGGTGACAAGAAGTTCGGCGGCCTGATTGAGTTCTTGGTGATCGATCTGTTTGCCGAGTTTAAGGCAGTTGATCGCGCCATCCTCCTCGGAGTTCTTGTCGAGGCCAAGGAGCATTCGGACCCGATGATGATGGTGATGATGGTAGTGATGTTGATGTTGGTGGTTGTAGACGAGCGCATCTTTCTCTTTCTGAAGTTGCGCTTGGTATTGCGAGTAGACCATCTCACCCAGCGCCTTCCATCGAGCCGAAGGGTCACCCGCTATAGAGACCCTGTTCCCCCCGCTCGTCTGAGAATAGTTGGTCCTGCCATCGGTGAGGATCGACTCGACCGTCTCCTTGCACTCATCTTCTTCGCCACTCGTCTCCCCCTCTTCGAATTCGCTTCGGTCACGTTGCTTCGACTTGGACTTTGTAGTATTCGACGAGGCTCGGCTCGAGAGTCGCTCGAACTCGTTAAACAGTCGGTCCAATATGTAGTTCTCAACCTTGAACATTGAGAGACAGCCTTGGTGGGCGCTCTGGCCAGCTGGGGACGTGTGAGGCTTGCTAGGGCGGGAAAGCGATTTGATGGCCGATGTCGTCTCGTCCCGGAGTGCCTTCACAGAATCTTTGGTTTCACGTTGAGCTGCCGTGATCTTCGATTCTACCAGTGTCTCTAATGCATGCTTTAAAGAAATCGATTGGAATAAGCAAGGCATACAAACCTTTTGATTTCTACACTCCTTGAAACCTGACTCAAGAGCAGTGGGCTTACCAGGTTTTCCGAAGTTGCTCTGGAGGTCACAAGCGGTAATGTCTATTGATTTTTATTTGTTATACCCGAGGGTAAGAGAACAAGCACATGCGATAACCATATATAGATGATCAGCATTCCAACTCCGTCAACTAGAAGAGATTGACGTACCTGAGTCTCAGCGAAATCCATACGCTTTATGAGCTATTACAGATGTTTGGAAAAGGGAGATTCGAATGAAATGGGCGGAAATCAGCAATCTGTGATGAGAGGGAAATGATCAGAATTTATTGATAATATGCATACAGCGTTTATGGCCCCGTGATCATCTATCCCTAACTTTTCAGCGTTCCCAAGTCTGATCTCGAATCGATTCAAACGAATTAGCAAGTGATTTGCATCGAACTGGATCTTTTTTTTGTTTTCATTTAGAGGAAAGGGGGGGGGGGTGGAGTTGTAAGCGTGTCTGATCGAAATGGGTTCAATTGCAAAATAAGTACCTTTCCAAGGATATCTTTCAAGTAAGTAAGTGAGAAGTTTTCGACCAGATGGAAATTGGAGGGGACAGGGATATTAGTGGGTGGATTGAGATGAAGAGCGTTATTAGGATTGAGGATTGGTCCGGGTTGTTGTTGAGGATAGAGGTGAACGATCGGATTATTACCGGGGGTGGTAGGGGTGGCGATCGTGGCGACTTTCTTGGATAAAAATTTCAAGTCTATGTCAGGTAAGATGCTCAAAAAACTCAATAGCTCAGAGATTCGTTGGGAAGTTAAGCCCAGTTGATCGAGATGATTTGTTAGATCCTGTGGGATCTGTTGTTTATAGAAATCCGTTAGTTTGACTTTGGAGTAGTCCAGTAACCATTTACTGGCCATCAATCGCTTCGAGATATATTCATATAAGGCTTCTGCCGTGGGAGGTGGTGCAGTAGAATGATGAGCTGAGTTGGTTGTGTTGACAGGAGAGTCAGATGGGAGTGATGAATGGTCGGCCGGGGCGGTTGCTGGTCGGGGTGAGGCTCCACCAGCATCGACAGAGACTCGAACTGGGATCTTCAACGGATTAGGTCGTTGTTGAGAGGTGTTGCCAGTTGAGTTTCGAGTGGCCGGGTTGACTGGTGTAGGGTTAGGATCTGGATGAGTTGATTTCGACTGACTTTGTGATGAAGATCGATGTCGGATCGAAGGTTGAGATTGGGCTGTGCTAGTTTGGGGAGATAGGGCTAGTTTGAGTGCGTTCCCTGGGGGTGCCCTTGAGTCTGTATGATTCTTATGATTGTTTTCGGTTTCGTTCGAGTTTCCTTCGGTCGAGCTGAGCTGAGGAGCTTGTTTGTTCAGGTTGGCTTCGAGGCTGGCTAGTTTGGTTTGAAGATGATCGAGACGAGTTTTATGGTTGTTCTCGATCTCTTTGAATTTCTTCTCGAGTTGTTTGATCTCAGTTTGAGAGTGGGAGTGTTGAAGGGTCTTGAGGTTCTTTTCGAACTTCTTCTCCTGATGGGCAGAGTGAGCTTGGATGGCTTGATCCAATTTGGTCTGCAGTTGACGATCGACCTGGGCTTGTATGAAGTGGGTCAAACCTTCGATCACTGGGCTTGCGACGGTGTTCAATACGTCATCGAATGAGAGCTCGGCGGCTCTCAGTTGGGCGCTCTTCTCGTCTAGTTCGGTCTGATAGATCGCTTCATCTGGTTCCTCTTCTAGGCAGGTTTGAGCCGATTCGATCATCTTCTTGAGGGCTTGGTAGTTGGAGTAGAAGCCAGGTCCATCGAGGATTAAGAATTTGAAGTTATTCTTGAGTTTCTGTTTGAGTTCCTCGTCTTGGTTGATGTTATCCGTTGCAGATGGTTGAGGATGTTGGTTGAGGATAGGATGGTTTGATGAGCTGGATGATGAGTCAGATGGTGATCTAGTGTGAAGTTGTTTGTTGTTTTCGTCTGTTGTTGTTGCTGGTATCTGTTTCTTCTTGTTTGAGTTCTGGTTGTTCTGGTTGTTCTGTTCATTCTTGTTATTCTGGTGGTCTGAGTCTGATGTTGGTGGTATCCTCTTTCGTTTCTTGATTCGTCCTGCTTCCATGGTTTTTGATTTTTATTTTTATTTATTTTTTTTGGTTTGGTTTGTCTTTCCTGTTTGTTTTTTTTTTTTTTTTTTTTTTTGCTGTGCTGCTGGCTGACTTGATAAAGCTCAACCCAGCTGTCACACATCCCCCACGATCGTGACAGGTCTTAAGAGACTTGGGTCTGAATCAAGGAAACCCCTCCAAAGGGGATTAGGAATGACCTTAAATAAATCGAAACCCGAGCTTGGTATACATACATAGGCGCCTTGCAGACAAGGTCTTTGTAGATGCTAACTCAAGCTTCCCGCCCAATTGGAACCGGGAGTGGCTGAAGTGGCAAATTTTTGGTAGGCGACATAAAGCGCTCAAGGTCTGACGATGACGCCCTAGGGTTTTCTTATTGGGGAGCCCCACATGGCGGCTCACAATCATATGATAGTGACTTAGACATTTAAAAGGGACAAGGGTCACAAAGTAATTGTCAAGAACACTACCTCACAATCATCATCATATATATATTTATATTCTACCAGGAAAAAAACCCGATGAAAGATGTGATACATGTGTGAATCCAATTTTCGAGGGAAGCAGTGGCTGCGAACGGGAAAGAGTTGAACGGAGAGGATGAGAGCGCATTGAGGAACACCAACAAAACTGGAACCAAAACGTTTTCTGGATATTTTGGATTGCACAGTTTGACGAAGGTATTTATCTACGGCCAGGGAAATCGGCAAAGTTCGCTTACATATTTGGACGGGGATGATTCGGTGGCTTGCTATCTCAAAACACATAGGTTACACGCTGATTGGTGTAAGAATCCTCTTAGTCTATGTACTGGCATGTCTTGGTTCATTCGAAATCGAGACTCACACTGCCTCTGGCGGTTATCATTGAACGGACATCCCCTTACTGTGTCTCCACTGAGGGCCTCTACAAACCGTGTGTGTTTGGGGGGGGGGGGGGAGGGTGGTCAGCAATCCTTCAAATGGTCTTTAGGCCAACCCCAGAATCATCAACACGGCATACTAATGTAATGGGGTCCGGTGGCATAAGAGTCTGGTTTGAAAAACCTTCCGTTTCCCAGTAAAGCATTGGGGTTGTGTGGATTAATCAGCTGGCAGTTCTTGAATTCAAAATCTGATAGTCATCCAGCACGGGTGTGTAGCGAGGAGATAAATAACAATGGTCAATTCGCAGAATCCTCGCAAAAAGTCAAGATACATATTATATATATATATATATAACTCACCTTCTGTACAACTCTCCTTCGCACAACTGTAAGATACGTGGTCGTTGCCAACGCATTCTGGAAATAAGTTTCAAGTTTTTGTGACAAATTAGCAGGGTGTGTCGATGAGGTGTCAGCCCATACGGAGGGCGTGACTGTTACTTACTCGCATCAGGGGAACTTGGCGTGTTAACGTATTGTACATCGCAGTTATGGGTAACGCCTCTTCGCACTAGGGAGTGTTCGCGCGATTCTGATAGCTGAACAGAGGGTAGGAGAGTCAAAGCGATGACTGCACAGATGATGTACGATCTTTGCAGGCTCCAATCTTTGAGGAACATGGTGGGTTGCGACTTGGAAGGGTGACTGGATGTGTGTGAGATTGAAACGGTGAGAGAAAGTATTCGATGGAGGTGCTGACCAATGCCTTCTGCACTGAGGAAATCCAAAGCTTTTAAAATCTATCGGAAGGGTTGAAGGAAGAGTCCGCTAAGCCTGTGTCAAGGCTTGTGGCCAATGGTACATACATAGCTGCCGGGCCGGGATATCGTGTTGAACCTTTTGGCCGCCTACAGCATAAATAGTTCAGGTCCGCCGTTGTATGTAATCTCGCCTGTTCTGCCGCCTCGGGCGTGTTACTGTGGTCCGCAAGGCGTCATGATTCATCTACAATATACCCATTCTGTTGTCTGTACAATGATCGGGGCTTGAATACATATTTACATCGTCTCGATGGTCAACTTGCTGGGATTGGAATCTGGATGAGATTGGGTGGCAAGAAGCCTCCTCACATGATGCCGCCCTACATAGCTTCTGCCTTCCTACGATGCGATGCCACTCATGTACAAACTGGCAAAGTGACCTTCAACTTCGTTGTATTGGCAAGCCATCGCAAGGGACCTGACTACCGGGATCTCGTAGGTCCCAAATACATCTCTTCTTTGTTGCGTACAATCCTGTGGGCTTGTGTCTGATCCGAGAGCTATGAGCCTATGGCATTTCATTAGTCACTGATGGTACGCAGTGGCTATCAATAGAAGCTATTGTGATCATTAGGGAGGGAGACGCACTTCAAAACAGCGCGAGTGTCTAAGATGCCGGTTATTATGTCTGCAGAGCTCAAATTGGTAATACACGTAGGACAACCATCAACAATTTTAAGAATCAAGACTTGTTCATCTGGGAATTCAACCCTCGGCATTGTGATGCTACTTCATGACCTCACACTAATCAGCAAATTTACAAAGTACATGTGAGCTGGTATGATACGTACTGCACTCGCAATCGAACATTAACTCTTGCACAGATCAACTCATCTCCCCATGTAGCGACAGTAGAACTGAGTACAAAAGAAGAGTCTTGACTTTGTACAAAAAGCAAAACAGATCGCTAATATCCTCTTATCACAGTCTGGGCTGGGAAAGCGTCGATTTTGGATAGGACCAACATCTTGGCTTGATGATGAATATACCCACGAACTCGGTCCTAAAGAGAGAAAAAAAAAACGCATCCGAACACGTTAATGTTACGTTTGCCAAATGGCACAAGTGAAAAACTTGATTTACCTGGGCGATCAGATTCGCCAAGAGACATTCAACCTCTTCCAGTTTACTATTCCCATCCTCTTCTTCAGATTCATCTTCTACCTCATAGGCTATCTTCCGGAATGAGTCCAGTGGGATCTGGTGGGCTGGAGCTTTCAACCGGTGTCTACCAACAAGAGCAAAGTGATCATTAAAAATTATCACCAATTCAGCCTTTGGTTGTTTGACTATATCTTAACCGGTTGTCGTCTCATCACTCACACAAGCTTAACGAAGTTACAAAGACAAACATCTCGACAACCTATTCACGAAAAACAATCACAAATTCTCAGCAGTCTAATGTGAGGTGAAAATCAAATTTACTCACGTTCAACTATGAGGTAAGTGCCCCTTTTCATCAGTTGTTTTTCGACTTGGCTCAAATGACGATCGAACAGTTCAATGTTCCCCAACCTAACAGCTACAGATCAAAACAGCCGGAATGAACTCAGTGGGCTACAATTTGGATTCTCAAAACTTAGAAGCCATGGAAATTTGAAGAAACACAGACAGACCGGTGATGAAAGGTTGATAGAGGTCGGAGAGTTGGCTAAATTGCCTCAAGAGCGCAGGGATCGGTCGTTTGCCTTTCAATAATCGCAGCGGGACCAGGTAGTTCATAATCAGGTCTCGGTTCCGGCGCTTGTTCCGATAGCAATTGTTAAAGGCAAAGTAGAGATGATCTTCTGCCTAGATCAGACCAAATAATTGGGAATCATGTGAGCTCGGGCTTGAGCAGTCATGTTTGAGCTCCTCAGCGAGCATTCTCACCTTTTCGTAATCCTCTTGAAGGAACGATAGCACGCCTGAGAAGATGTATAAAGCCTAGAGATGAGTAATTGTTCAACTTTCACTCTCTCCCTAAAAAAACAAGACCAACCCATGTAATAACGGTACGTCACTCGATGTGCAATCGGTACCTGGAAACCATCAAGCAGTCCAGCATTTTCTACACCACGAATGACGTTTTTACAAAGCGCAGTAGATTTCAGCTGTTCCAGATTCGCCCAACCATCGAGAAGAAAAGCGTCAAATCAACCTGAGTGCAGTCCTGATTATGTGTAGCCTAGGTATTATACTGACTTTAAAATAGATCTTGAATAGCAAGCTAGCCATATACAAGACTCCCAATTTTTTGGTGTCGCCAGCTGAAGTTCTCTGGATGATGCGAGTAATCATCTCAGCTCGAAGAAAAAGGGTATCGATTCTGAGAAAGTCATTTAAAGAAGTTGCATACTTACATCACTGCAACACAATCCGAAGCCGACTTGGATTAACCTGGCCGCCTCAGCTAATTTGGCAGCCTTTTCGCCCTGAAGGAGGAGCGCCTCGTCTGCCTGGGGGAAAGGAAATAACCGCCCGATTGAGACAAATGCGTTAGATGACTTGTCAGATTTGAGAGAAAGAAAGAGGGGGAAAAAATGTATTAACTCAAACCCGAGTGGCAAAGGCCCGTAAATCACGGTAGATTACATAGAGTACCGGAAGACTCCATGCGGTATTATCAGTTCGAAACCAGTCGTTGTAAGCACTATTGAGGATTTTTTTTTTCAAGCACAAGAAATCTATTTTGAGCGCGTCCTTTTTCATTTATCTTGAAGAAAGCAATCGTCATACCTCACGAGACTCTTCTGAGCGTCGAAGACGGCCAAGAAGTTAGAAGAGTTCGAATCGGCTAACATGAGTAGTAACAGTACATAATCTTGATATCGGAGCTGGCGAAGAGTGATACGAGGAAGGTCGCAGTGTGAAGAAACTCACAATGAACGGCGTGGATGACTCGGAGATGGGCGATGGTGAGGCTATCCCAAGGTTGATGACTGTTTAGCTTGCGTCTGATTTGATTTTCAGCGGAAGACTAAGGATAGCCAAAAAAGAAAAAGAAACGTAGGCCGTCGGTTCAGCGCTTTTCCAACTGAAGCAGAGTGTTTTTTTTGTAGTAATGACTGAGACTTACGAGAGGGATAGATGAGCTTTGGTAGAGATTTTTGGCGTGACTATCGCTGATCGAGAAGCAGTCGGCCAGGGCCTCGCCGAACTTCCCGATCACGGCTGGTGCGATGTGTTCTTCGGCATACTTCGATGGCTTCAGTGTCGGCATCTTGCTTCTTGGTATCCTCGGTGGGTTCTCCTTCGTTATGTTTCGGCAAGTTGATTATGGTGGTTTGTCTTGGACTTGTTGTTGAAGTGGAGGCCGATGACTATGAGACTATGAGTGCATACAGCCAAAGATTTTCCCCACTGACACGCAATCCAACCGCACATCTCATGCCAACCAAAGGCTCGACTTCAACATCTATCACTCAGCTCAAGCCCCCCCCTCTCCCCCTGGATGGGTTTATTTCAATGTTCTATCTCATCTAAAGTGTGTATGCCAAGAACAGGGCATACAAATGACAAGCATAACAAGGGAAAAATCAAACTTGGGTGCCAAAAAACATACACCTTCACAATGTCCGCACAGTACTGCTATCCTACAATAAGCTTGCCACAGACATCACTATGGATATGTTTAAAAAGAATGTTGGCATATGGAACCTGTTGGACTGATTGTCGAAAAATTGCTGCACCATAGGACACAGCTACCACTGACCTTGGGTAGTGACTAGAGGCGAGGACAGCAAACCCAAGAAAGGCAAACTGGTGGACCCATGGGCCTCTGAATTCATATTTTTCTCCATTTTCCAAGGGGGGGGGGGGGGAGTGGGGTTGTGATTGGTGGGATTCATTCACTTGAAGAATAATGAAAAATTCATTTTTGATGCTATCAAAGTTTGAGAAAGAATATAGTTACTGAAATTTTGAATTTTTAGGTGAGCTAGTTGAGATTGTGATTAGAGTGTTAATTTAGAACTGAGAGAGGTCTAAGAAACACTCTAAACCGCAACAGGAAGTCCTCCATTTTTCAAGTACAATGGAGGGCCTCATGTCAGATCTTATCATCTTGAGCCCTCCCAATTTTTGGTTTTGGCCCAAAAAGTCTCAATCCTTGCAGGGAAATCTAGCTTTTGAGGCTCAATCAAAATGAGGGACCATCACATTTTGAAAGGAAGTCATCCAATGGAGGACTTCTTATCAGATTTAAATTCCTTGTATATGATGATCTAGACCTGCCAAATATAAATTTCATCTGCAAAGATAGCTTGACAGCCTGTAAGTCTGGCTTTACAAGGGCTGTGAAACCAACAGGAAGTGCTCCAACATCTGCAGATTGAGGAGTGACATGAAAAATTAGAAAATTCAGGAGATTTTATGGTCTCAGTGGCCCCTTTAACAACCCTAATCTTATAGGAGAGGCAAGAGATTTTGTGATAGATCAGACCTTTTTTTAAAGTGTATGTTTTTGCTTGAGCATTGCACACTAGGAATATCATTATATCTATCTACAAGCTTTGGATGCTTGCAGTATGTTTTTTTCCTGCACTTGTTCAATGGGGGCAAGTTCCCTAGAGGATGCAGAAATGTAACAGACAGTTCCATCTGTTGTAACCCAGCTGCTGGGTTACCGTTTTACTCACTAGACCCTAGAGTATGTAGCTAGAGTGCACAAGTTTGTTCTCAAATTATGATTATCATTCACAAACCACATCACCATCTACTTGTGGATCATACTGTTGAACACGAAAATGGGGTGGTGTATAGTTGTCCAAGACCAGAAGTGGTAGTGGCCAGCGGTTGGGTTTGTCACAATCCAAACATTGCACCTGCCACTCTCTTCAACATGATAATTGATTATGCTTTGTCGTTGCAGGTGAGGCAGACCTTTTGTGGGTGATCATTACCACTAGGCCATCCAGGCCTTATTGGACCATTTGTCTGGATGCCCTCAGGCCAGATGAGCAACATTGGATGCAAGTCCCTCTCTGCAGGAGTGGGTCCCCCAGGCCCAGAGAAGGACTTGGGTTGAGTTTGATGATGCCCTTATAGAAATTTGACCCCTACTTGTAAATCAAAGTGACAATCAGATCAATTCAGAGCTTCTTTTCTATGAATATGATGGGAAACAAATCAACAGAAAGATGTCATAAAACAAATGAGAAAAAAAAAACATGAAAGAAAAATTACCTGGATGAACAACACAAAAAAAAACAGAAAAAGATTGTGAATGCACTTTCCAGAGAGAGAGAGAGACAGAGAGAGACATAGAGATAGGGAGATCAATGCTGCACTAAAAATTGATCAAATGAACAGCACAAAAGTTAATCGACTATTGGATGATAGCAGTATGTAATAAGAATGAATTCCAAAGAGGATGTTGGGTTTGAAAAAAAGCTACACTTGTTGACTAAGAAAAGCATACACACAACACAGATAATAAACCAGAATAACCGGTCAATAAACATTCCCATCAACTCCAAAATAGAAATTCAAAGCAAAAAACAGTGACTAACCTGGCTAAGTACTGTTCAAGATGGAAGACCAAGTTACTGAATTTAGGCCAGACAAATTTCCTAAAGTTGAGATCAAAGAACTCTTGCAAGACCTGATTGATATCTTGAGCCTGATGTTGATTGAGAGGATTGATGGCGTTGGAAGGAGGACAGTGATGGTGATTGGGATGATTGGAGGGTTCTTCTCCTGGGTGAGCTAGTTGTTGGTTGTCTGTAAAGGCATGGGTATCTGAGTGAGGTTCAGTTTGGAGGGATTGATCTGTTTGGTGAGCTTGGTCTTGGTGAGGTGGTTGGTGTTGGTGTTGATCTTGCAGAGGATGATCCTGATGAGAGTCTTGATGAGGATCCTGATCAACTGGAGCCTCTTCATCAAATCCATTGGGCATTTCCTCTTGGAGTCTGATGGTCTCATTGATCCTTAGTAAAAGTTTGATGATCAATTTCTCAAAAAACAGGTTCTCTGGATCAGAAGGAATAGCTGGAGGAGAACCCCTGGGGTGTTTGAATTGTTGATGTCTGTATTGGCTTGGTTGGGGTCATTACTTGTTCCCGGTCGACTCTCTGGTTCGTGATGATCATGAGGTTGAAGGAGTGGGATTCTAGGATTCCTCTCGGGATCGCGGATATCGATCTGGCCTAGGTTGACTTTGAGATGTGCATTTAGTTTCGTCAAGAAGATGTTGAGGTTTAACTTTTGGTTAATGTGGTCTGAGTCGATTAAGCCGAGTGAGACCAAGACGGACGTCCTTCGGAGTACAGGATCGGTTTCCTTCTCGATGACACCCTCTAGTCGCTTGATTCGCTGCTGTAGTCCGTCGGTTTGTTTATGTAAGTTGACCAGTTTATCCTTCTCTCCCAAAAATAAACCTTCGATCTGATCGATTAGACTGTCCAGATCCTTCGACATCTCTTCCTTACATTGCACAATCTCACTGCGAATCCCTTTTCGATACTCAACGGCGTGTTTTTCGAGTCCTTTATGATATGAGTTTAGTTTCTCTTGGACTATTTTTTCAGTCTCCTCATTGATCGGTCTGAGCTTTTCTTCGATTTGCCGTTCGATCTTCCGACTAGTCGATATAAGCTTTTCGTCCATCATTTTTTCGGTCTCCTTACTAATCGGTCTGAGTTCTTCTTGAATCTGACGTTCGATCTTCTGACTAGTCAAGGTGAGCTTCTCATCAATTATTCGTTCAGTCTGCTCACTAATCGGTCTCAGCTTTTCTTCGATGTGTCGTTCGACCTTCTGACTATTCGACATGAGCATCCCTTGGACCACTTGTTCGGTCTTTGCACTAATCGGTCTCAGCTTTTCTTCGATGTGTCGTTCGACCTTCTGACTATTCGACATGAGCATCCCTTGGACCACTTGTTCGGTCTTTGCACTAATCTCGCCGATTTTTTCTTTGAGCTGTTCTTCAATCTTTTGGTTGATCGACAAAAGCTTTTTTTCGTCATCTAGTCCAACCTTCGTACGATTAGATGTAAGTTCTTCTTGAAGCTTTTCTTCGATCTTCTCAGTGGTTGATCTCACCTTTTCTTCAACCATTCGACCGATCTCCTCATTATACGATTTCACCTTTTCGTCAACCATCCGACCGATTTCCTCATTTTTCGATCTCAGTTTCTCTTCAACTAGTCTTTCGATTGCGAGACTGTTTCTTTCGAGGTCCTCCTTGGATGGGCTCTCAATTTTCGTCTTGATGACCACTGATTCTTCGTCTTTGGGATCAATAACTGGTGTCTTGTGATCCAGTTGGGCTTCGGATGCTGCCGGTTGATCCGGTTGATGATGATGATGATGATGAACCTGGAAATCGAATGGTTCAGTTCCTAAACCAGAGTAGCCAATGGCAAAGACGAATTGTTTATGATAATCTTGATAACAATCTATCGTATGATTCTCGAATTTGAATTTCAGTTTCTCTCCTATCGACCCTGCTTCGATTTTTGTTGGTGGTGAGGTGGGTGGGATGGGTGGGATGTGATTCTGACTTGTTGAGGAATCATTTCCCTTGAGTTTCTCCAAGAGATCTTCCAAATATTCTCGGTTGAGCATGATCAATTCACGTTTGGCGTCCTTGAGGCTATCATCGAATTGGTATGCCATGTCGTCAAAACCACACTCGATTTCGTTTTGGATGAATAATCGTAAGTCGTCTGATATAGGGTCTTCCTGATCATCCTCTTGGATGAGATTTGAGGTGGGATGGAGGGTTGTAGATTCGAGTTCTGAAGGTTGCTGATCGGTTGGATGGTGGTCATGAGTCTCAGTTATTGTAGCTTCTCGAGCTGCCGACGGGATGGCTTTAGTTGGTTTCGGTTGGGTATCAGACCTGGTGGAGGGGTGATCTGGTATGTCAGTTTTGAAGTTTGAGGGGATGATGACTGTTGATGGATTGAGAGATTGAGACCTTTGGATATTGAGGGTGGGATTAAGTCGAGCAGGATTATTGTTGTTGTTGGGTTCGGATCGAGCTCGATGGTTTACGAGTAGTTGTGTCTTGGCATCCAATGACTCGGTTCTTCTCCTCTTGAGAGTGTTTTCTTTTTGTGATGGGTTAATTTGAGGTTGTTGAGGTTGTTGAGGTTGTTGATACTGGTTGAGGTAGTTGATTAGTTGGTGAGTGAATGACTGACAGTTCTTCTCTAGTTGTTCTTGATCGGCTGGGTTTGGTATTGAGCTGATGATTGGTCTGAATAGTTCGGCTATCGATCTCTTGAGTGATTCCTCCTGGTTGCTCAACTTGCCTTGTTGGACTTCCATCTCAGCTGCTTGATATTGTATGTGGGTGCCAGGTGGTTTTTGGTTCTTGTTTGGGTTTTCCTGCTCAACAAGCCCTTCATCCAATCAATCCCAATCTGGAGTATCCACACTCCCCCTCACTTGTTTACCATCTCAACTCACTGAAGAAGTCACCCTACTCAAAACTGTATCTCGCCACCCTCGCAATGATCAAAGACCTTGGGTCAAACCCTTCAGTGTAAATAAGTGTATATCCATACAACCAGAGCATGTACAAATTTGATCTGACTTTAGACATCCTGCCAACTATCAGTACCATGTGCTCATTCCTGACCACTTTAATAATCAAAACCAAACTGTCAAGCTGAATCCACCCAACAGTCTAATTCATGCTACTGTCCTCTTTGTAGGAGTCATTGGGCTATTGGTGAAAATTTGAGGCAGTCTCAGAGACCATGACACCTCAATCAATAGCACATGCTATGGCTGATGGTAAATCTAAACCGGATGTTGCTGGTTGGAGTTCTTGGCATCTGAAGCATCATGTATGCGAGCTAATGCAAACCTACAACATGGGAAAAATCACCAAAGGAAGAAAAGCTAAAACTGAAAGAACGCTCCTCGATGTCCAAATGAAAAAAGTAGATTATTTTCCTTCTTCCTCCAGGACAGCCTCCTCCTCATCCTCAATTCCGCGCTTCGTATACCAATAATTGTAAATTTTCTTCCGGTTGGCATCTGAACAAAGAGGGTTGGAGCCAGCTTGGAAGAGTAACGACAAGAGATCGGATCGGATGGTTTGGAAATCAGATCGGGAGGCTGATGGAGTGACTGATTGGTTGGCGGAAGAGATCAGGCTGGTCTCGAAGGTAGGATAGATCTCGATCGTCGAACTCGTCGGCATCTTCGTTCGCTCTGAGATGAATAGGTCTAGGTTTGCAAATAACGGTTCAAAGACATTCTCGAGAATCTTTCGAAACGTAGCCGTTCCTGGACGAGATTGAGAGAGTCCATGAATCAGAGGGGCCAGAAGTGGAACAATCGGAGCTGGTCGATCCGCTCGCTTCTCAAGCACTCGATTAAGTTCTTCAAGGAATATGTCGCTAACATGATACGTGATCGATTGGGGTGTCTTGAAATCTGCAACACTGTTTTTTGTTTTTTAAAAAAAAGGCAAATGTTTCTTCCGAAATTAGGACTCATTGCACTAGGATTGATAGCAGAAGATTTTAGAGGCTCCCTTGACATACTTGAACACGGTTTCCTGTAGGATTTCAGACCAACGTTCGATCGCTTTGGGATGCCACTGAGCTCGTTGGAGGATTTTGAATGCTACTTCAACAAATCTGCGCATCAACATGAGATATTTATCCAACCGATGTTTGTCGACCCCTTGCCATTCGGAGCCTAAGGCGATCCAAAACTGTTTCCAAAACGAGAGTGCGGTTTGAGTGGTAAAGACCTGGTCGAGTAGAGGATCATCATCTGAGCTTCGAGCGGGCCTGATGATCAGACATAGGTCTGCTAATTCTTGAGCAAGGTGCTGTTGGACGATCGGTTTGTCTGACATCCAATAACAGTAGAATAGACCCTTGTATAGCTTCGCAAGTTCGATCTCGTCAAGCCGGACCTTCTTGGGCTCAATCGTCTCCCACTTGTCTTCAGGCAGTCGGGCTTGAAACAATTCATCTTGAAATTTGTCTTCTTCGGATCCGACTTGTCCACTCAGAAACTTTCGCAAAGCAGCCACCGCTCGATCTCGAGTGAGCTTGTCTGGAATAGTAAGTAAGAGAGAGAGGCATATCCATTGTCAATCTCTTCTGTAACGTGAAGTGGATAGATTATGATACATACCATTACTTGCAAGGAATTTACCGAGCGGTGGTACATCTCCTTTCAAAGACGCTTTCTGAGGACGACCGGATGAAGATTTCTTCTTTTGTTGAGGGGTTTCGAGGCCGGTTGGATGGCTCAGTTTTCCAGAGGCCAGTTTTCGCTTTTTGGAGATCGCTGAGGATGTTGACATATCTTTTGTGTATTTTGTGCTTGGTGGCTGTTCTCCCTGTGCTAAATTTTTCCCAGTTTACATAGTTTGGTTTCGGTTAATGCATATCCAATTTGGTTCCGCAGCCAGCTCGTGTCACAACTCAAGTGGGTTTTACATAAATACAGGCCTTGTAAAGCTAGATTTACAGGCTGTATGTAGAGCTTTCACTAGGGAAAACGGTTTCACGAGCTTGTAAAAATAGCTTTACAGGGGGCTGTAAATTCGACGGGAAGTCCTCCACTTACCGTCTACGTATGTAGAGCGGTGGGGATGAGCTCCTGTTAAGTTTGCTTGAGGAAATGTTCAGCTGGCAAGAATTGTCGAGGGAAGGAGGGATCAGTCTCCCCAGACGTCGTGATCTTGTAGTGGGTGGGAGTAGCAGAGGATGACGTCATGCGGGAATTGAAACCCACAGCCTCGAGGCAGCGGATGGATGAAAGCTTTCCCAGGAAAAACTAAGCCAGAGACAAGACAACCACAACCAAACGGAAAACAAGGAAAACGAGGAAAACGAAAGGAAAACAAACCAAGAAACGAAAGGAAAACAAACCAAGAAACGAAAGGAAAACAAGAACCAATGGACCAACAACTGATCGACTTACTCAAACAGTCACTCGATCCATCAACCCAGCCACAAGCCAGGAGGAACCTAGACCAAGATCTGAGGGTTAACCTACCCACCCAACAACCCCTAGGATTCATCAACTCACTCACCAACATCTCAATCAACTCAAACTACCCATCAGACGTACGTATCCTAACAAACAAACAAACAAACAAACAAACAGAATACTAACTGAAATCATCCAATTCAATCCAGCTTCGTCTCAATGCTCTCGTCCTACTACGAACCATCCCAATCGATCCCTATAATAACAAGATATGGTCAAACGCACTCAACACTGATCAACAACGTCAGATCCTCAACCAGCTCTTCAATGCATTACTCGCACCAACCCAATCACCAACCCCTCCAGAGATCATCAATCAACTGGCTCGAGTCATCGCCGACCTCGCTAAGAACTCACGCGAGATCACCTTACAATCATCCGGTATGTCTGTAACCATTGAACCTACAGAAGAATAATCAAACCACAAAAATACTCACTAGCTCAATGTGTATATCCAAAACAACAACAACCAATCTCCAGACGAATGGTCCACCGTATTAAGACCAATCCTTCTAGCCCGTCTTCTTCCCCAACAACAACAACCTCCAACACCATCAAATCCGATCCTTCAGACTGCCCTTCTCGACATCTTCGTCGCCCTGCCATGGTTATTCTCAAGCTCACCAGTCGAACTAGAATCAATCGTCCTGTCAAGCCTCAGCTCCGATCATTTCCCCCTCAGATTAGCTGCCCTCCAAGCGATTTGTGTTCTCACCTTAGACCTCGAAACCTCCTTCGCTCAGCCAGTCCTACAAGCCATTCTCCTACCACTCCCATCCCATCCCAACCAACCTGACCTCGAAACCGCTTTGACCTATCTCATCGAATTCGCCACCTTTAACGATATACCCGATCTGACCACCTGGATCGAACCATTACTACAGCTCACTCTCGATCAAAATCGGATCATCTCCACCCGGAGTACCGCCTTAGAGTGTTTGATCACCCTCATCGAATCTCGCTCGCCAGCCTATAACTTAGCCCCTAGCTTGAACTGGCTTAACCCGGTCTTTCGCGCCTTAGTCAATTTGATGGCCGAAATCGATGAAGACGAGCATTGGTCTTCAAGTCTCGATGGGGATGAAGAAGACCAAGATGCGATTTACATTCAAGCGGAACAGGCTCTCGATCGTTTAACCCAAGAGGTCGCTAAAACTCATTGCGACCAACTCTTCGAACTCATCCTATCTGCCGTTCAACCACCCCTTCCGGCTTCATGGAAGGCCAAGCATGCTCTACTCTCAGTCATTGCGGTCACGGGCGATGGACTTGCCGAATCTTTCTCACTTGCTACTGAGCAGATTTACCACGTCCTCCAAGCTGGCTTTGATGATCCTCATCCAAGAGTAATCTATGCCGCAATCTATGCTATCGCCCAACTTGCATCCCCATTGAAGGTCAGAGCTTTTTTTTTGACTCAATTTCCGTGATCGTTCTCTGATTGTTCAATGTTGTGTTAAAAACCAAATGTAGATCACCTTTTCAACTAAGCCAGTACATCAGCAAGTCTTGTCCTGGCTTCTCCGATGCCTCGAAAACACTTCCCAGCCACGTCTTCAAGCGTTTTCAGCAAAGGCGTTGATCAACGTCCTATGGGACGACGGATTTCGCAAGGTCGAGATCGCAGACGAGATGGTCGGACCGCTCTTAGCCCGTCTGATATCCTTGTGCGAGTCGAACTACAGTGATCGTAGATCGCTCTCCAACAAAATCCGGCTGGATGCCCTTGACGCAATCGGCAAGCTGTTCGGTTCTATGAGTCAACAAGGTGCACTGGTCAGTCGTCCCTCAACTGGAATATACAATACGAAACATCACCCATTTAATCCCAAAACTTCGAAATCTCTTGTAGGCATTCTTCGACACCACTATCTCCACTCTGCGAAAATTAATGGAGGAAGTCGATCTTGCTCGCGCGGCCGCGAGAAGTGACGGGTGTGAGCTTTATGATGAAGAGATGGACGAGACTGAGCTGAAAGTCTTTGAAGCGATCAGTCGTCTCGGTACGTGGCCTGCTCAAAAAATGCATCCTGACCGTTTTCTATCTCCCCACGAGAGTTACTTCGAGAATGACTTATTGACTATCTTACTGCTCAGGCAGCTATGACAAGCGGCGAGCAAAGGTTTGATGCTGATGCAGATTGGTGGGCTAGTCGAATGTTGAACGTTTTAGGTAGGTAACCTGACTTATCATCTATGGAGTTTTCATTAAAAAATTCCTTGCGGGTGTCTTTGCCCTTGACTAACTCCGTCATTTCAGAGTTACGGCCACAAGGACAAACCAGGATTTTAAGCTCGTTGGCCGGACTCTCGGGTGGGATGAATGCTGACCGGTTTGTCAATCAGGGATTCCTGACAATCCTCATCGACCGCTTGATCAAAATTTGTCACGCAAAACCCGATATCTCGATTTCCGCGCTGCTTGACGATTGTCATGAATTTGATGACCGACAATGGGAATCGTGAGTATGCTGTTCTCATTCAGCGGACAGGCTCCATACACCAATCACACCTGGATCGCTGAACACCATTACCTGTCCATGTTTTCATGTGGTTTTGTACAACCAATCGATCGGTAACTCTTCCAACGAAATCAGGGTAGTCATTGGAGAACAAACCTTCGGAATCAAATCGGCAGAACTAGCTGATAAGGAACTATCGCTCAAGACGCTGATTCTTTTGGCTAGTAACATTGGCGCTCGGTTGATTCCTCACTGTGATCAAATCGTCGCCGCCGTCATTCCCTTACTAAAGTTTTAGTTGCGTCTGTTTCTTCCCCTCTCTTTTTGACTTTGATTCTATCATTAATCATCCTCAATCATACCAATAGTTTCAGTGATGAGGTTCGAGAGTCTGCAATGGTGTTACTGCCTCTGCTGGTTCAAAGTATGTCACGAGTTGACCAATTGATCTGGCAAAGATTTCTGTAAAAAAAACCTGATCGTATGTTTTACAGGTGCCAAAGCGTCTGGCATGGCCGTCCAACAAGTCGAAGGAGTATCAACGAGCTTTTGCGATTCAATCAGGCTTGCATTCAGTGCTGAGACATTAGATGCGGGCAATCTGGCCGACAGTTTATTGATGGCCTGGGCGGAATGCGCAGGATACCAAGCCCCATCGCAAGAGGAAGTGAAACAGATGGCCGAAGCGTGTTGTGAGCGGATCCGGCGGGTGATAGCAGATGGGACAGGTGGGGATGATGAGGAACGCGAGGAGGGACTCCGTCGTCTCTTTACAGGAATCTCGCGCGTCCTGAGAATCTCGGTCGGAATGAATCCCGAGTGGATGTGGTCCCATCTCAACGAGCGGGTCGTCGATTGGACCCGGATCGTCGATCCTGAACCGTCGGCTATCTCGATCGGCTTGAAAAGGCTCGGCTTCCGTCTCGTCGGCGCATTCGTTAAGTTTTATTCCTCCACCGCCGGGCCTGAGTTGATCGAAAAAGTTGGCGAGCATATCTTGCTAGGTTTCACCCATCAAGGTCAGTTTTCTTGTTAAGCTTATCGTTGCGTTTCCTTGAATTTCTCTCTCTTCGATTGATTCTAATTATGATCTTTTTGTAGATGAATGTGTAAGAGGTCTTGCTCCTTTTATCGTCGGTTTATGTGCCGAAAGGAACGGGGAAAGTCCCAAGCCAGTTTACGTGGAGCTAATCAAATGTGAGTCTCTCAATACTTGCTTTGCTACCTCCATCCTATCAATCTTGACCCTTACCGATCCATATTGGGGTTTGATTGCTTTGGAATCGATGCTCGGTAGCTTCGATGAATCTTTTGGTCACCGGCTTACAAGTCAACTCTCGCTCTACTGGCACTCGAGCCGGGACATTTGGTGAAGCGGCTCAAGTCGCTCGAGAGAACTGTGTTTCGGCATGTACGTATTTGGAGCAGCTATTCGAAAACAAAAACAGTGATTTTTCTTCCTGTTCGTGTTCTTTAATTAATCTGGCTGCCTGTTCTTTGATTACCCTAGTGGCGAAGATTGTTAGGAATCCTGAAGGCCTTGTGATCGAGGTTGATAAAATCTTGCCCCAATGGATCGATGCCTTACCGATCGAGATAGATGTAGAGGAAGTTGAACCGAGTTATGGCTTGTTACTAGAGCTGATTGCACGGTGAGTGCATAATCCACTTTTTCTTGTACAGTGATTGAGGGAGTCACTCAAAGATGGGCTGGGTATTTGAATAAAGTGGACATGAATCGGTTGATCCTACGAAGAACGAGATTTGTCGGATCGAGCAAGTCATCCAATCCCTCCTTTCGGCCATCATGAACGACTCGATCACCTTCGAGTGCCGCAACTCTTTGTCGGTCGCCCTCAGGGCTTATCTCTCTCAGCTCCCCCCTCAGATCATCGAACTCAAGAACAATGGCCAGCTCCCCCAGGACTCAGTCTGGACTCGATTGGACGACTTTTTGGCTGGTCACGCTCCCAACTCTACTTAAATATATATCAGTCTTTTGTTATCCTTTCAATTTATTCAACATGTGCTTAGTTTGAGCTTTAGAGTTTTTTTTTTTTTTTTGGTTTCGGATTGGTTATTAGGGAGTCACACTCCTTTTTTAGTTTTTCTGATGTCTGTTGTCTTTCGGTTTTACGAATTGATTCATCAAAATATCAAGATATTACATATCTCTCTTTTCCTTTCTGGCTGGAGATGCTTGATACAGATCAATGATTGTGGATCTCCATGATTACTAAAAAAACTTGTAAAAAAAGTTTTTTGGGGAATGATTAGACTCTCAGATTTTGTGAGTCTGACAAAGCTGATCCAAGATAGACAAAAAACCACACAAAACCCATTTCTGTACAGAAAACTGTTGTTCAAGAGGCATAACATATAGTTAAGACCTCAGGAACTCTTATGTTGCCTATCTGACCGCTGTTGGAGTAAAATGCAATTTATTCATCAAAACCAAAAAAATGTAAAATGAGTGGGGAATATATTAACCTATAGGACCAAGTAACTTTTGGGTGACTATCAATTAGTTACTTCATCAAAAAAAAAGCATGGGTAACAAGAAAGTTGACTTGACTAAGGCATTACCCCAATTGTGGGGATTTTGGGGCTGCCCCCAGCCAAGGCCCCAGTTATTGGTACTTGGGATGGGCTTTGCACAACCCTAAAAACCTGGTGTTCATAGTTTCCCGGTGTGGTAAGCCAATCCTGAAAATCCAAGCACATCAAGAGTACAAATCACACAGGAATCACAGGATCAAGGCACCCCAGAAAGTTCCCCAGACCCTCAAACAAATCAAGACACCACTCATGAATCCCTCAAGCACAGACCACATGGATAATCATATTTCCCAGCCAGAAACTCCCCACCCTTGAAACTCACTCCCCTCCAAACATATTCCATTCTTCTTTCTCCTTGTGTCTCACACTAGTAACAATCCCCTTGCCCATGAAACTGTTATCTCCTCCTATTTTCTTCCATGGAATATTCCACCCCTTGGTTGTTTCATACTAGTAACCTTGGGAACATTTGCCCACTGCTTGTTTCCTCTGTTTTCTCTGGATAAATATTTTCCCTTGTTTCATACTCTTCATAGAATGTTCCATTTATCTTCCAACCACAAGCTGGCCACTCCCCAGAATTTTGTATATAAGGAGCTTTGTTTTTCTCTTCATTTGTTCCTCATCAGAGCCTGCCCCAGCAATTCAGATAACTGATCACCCATTATTAGCCAGGTATTTGCCCATCAACATTTGGGATACCTTGATTTGTGAACCAGTATATTTAGACTAGTAAACATAAGACATATTAGACATACCATTGTAAAGCTCAAAAGTGTTTGTGAAAACCTTTTGCTGAGTGTGGAAAGGGATGAATGAGGATACCTCTGCCTTGCCTGGATCACTAGACACTAGACAAGCCCACCAATCTCAGATTGGAAGGTTTAATAAAGTGATAGTGGAGTGTATCAAAAGATAACTGTGGCTTAACAGGTGGACAAAGGGTTTAACCCAGTTTTATAAGGGTCTAAAAGGTTGATTTGAGAGTGAGAGAGTGAGTCTAGCTGATATTTCAATGGTAAGGGGATGGTATGTAAGGGTTTGTAAGGGTAGGGGGTATGAAATAGGTGGATACTAAACTGAGGGGAAAACAACTGAGAGGAGAGCCTCTTAAATACACAAAAGTGAGGGATTTTAGCTTCAGGGGAACAAGAGAATGAGAGATTTTAGCTGGCCAGAGCTTTACAATGAGGGGATTTAGCTAGTCAGAACATGTACATGAGGTATTTTGGCTGGTTGAGCCACCTACATGATGTCATAAGAGTTATTTTAGTTTGAACTAGAAGTCTACATGAGGGTTTTATGCTGGTGTAGCATTTTACATGAGGTGATGTACTAGTCTGCAAGCTAAGGTGAGGTGATGAGTATTACATGAGTGGTGTGAGATAGTCTGACAGTAGCTGCAAGGAAGATTAAAAAATGACATGACAACCTGCATGATGCCACTTGTAAATCCAGAGTGGTACCAGACCAACACTGCATGTGTCAACTGTCAGAAGATAGTGGAGTGGTGTGAGCCTGGGTCTCAATAGTGACAGCAGGACACAAGGTTTTTGGGGGGCACTTTTAAATGTATTTCTAAAGATAAAGAAAATACAAGTAAAAGTAGAAGAGAGGAAAAGAAGAGGAGGAAAAGAATAAGATAATCTTTTGTTTCTTGGTTTATTTTCTGAAGAAGATTAATTTATGGCAGTCTTACTGTCCCTCTTGGATGGCTGCAGACAGTCTTATTTTCCTTAGTAGGATAGCTGTTATAAGCGGAGCTAACTCTGACGCCTCCAAATCAACAGAAACTGAAATGGGTATTGACACTGATAAATCAGGTCAACCACAATTTTTTAGATCAAAGATCAAGGCTCTTTAAAGGGAAACCTATGTAGTTTTCAGTTGTACTACCAAACAGTAAAAGAAGAGATAATAGAAGCTAAGGCTTGCTTTCTTTGATCAGGGCTTTGGTTTGAGGAGGAGTGAAGAGAAACTGAGAGAGACAGAGAAAAGAAACAAGCAGAAAGATGCTAGCTTAACTTAAGAGAAGTGACTTACTAATGATACCAATGACACTGAGTAGTGGGAAAGGTAGGAAAAGTGAGGTCCTTCTGGTGGATAAGTGTTTGCTTGATCTGGGTCTGGTTGTTGGTGTTCTGTGTTGGTCTGGAGTCTGAAAATCCTCTGGAAGCGGAATCAACAAGCTCAGAGAGGATTTTCAAAGTTGGATTATGTAATCTGGCATGTACATGTGGTAGATGGAACTGAAACCTAAGGTTGGAATAATTCTTGGAGTACTGTGGATTATTACAAAGTCAATGAAGGAATGGAGTTGGGTAAAAGTGATCAGTGGTGACTAGGGTTAATTTTACACCAGGAATCCATTTCTGAAGTCAGAAAGGTTAAAAGTCTTAAGATAAAAAAGATATGATAATATTTTGAATAGAAATGGGCAGTTTTGGCAGTCTTTTGGCCAACTTGGTTGGCTCTAAGGCTGACATTCCCTACCACCAAAAGAGGTTTTGTTTTCTAAAAATAAAACATCAAGAGGCTCTCTTTTCACTCCTGAATTTCCTAAGGAGTGAGGTAGCATCAGGTATGTCCTTTTCTAAGAGCCATTCGTCTTTATCTGCACTCATGTTCTTGTATCTTGCTAAAAACATCCTTACATCTCTGTTGTCCACTCTTATCCTCTTTTCTCTAAGTATCTTAAGAATGACTTTGTTCTTTGGGTTTTCTTCCATGGGGGGGATCACTACCTTAACTTTCTGTCTTAGAGGGAATTTGTCTGGATTTGGGGCATGGTAGGGTTTGACAAGGCTCACTGGAAAGGTAGGATGTTTTCTGCTGAATTCTTCCGTCAGAATGACTTCAACTGCATTCTTTCCATGTAGAGCTTTCACTATAAAAGGTCCTGCAAATGAATCCCTCATTTTTTTTGGTCCAGACAAATTATTGAAATTTGTAGTAGATATGAGTACTTGGTCACCTACTTGGAAAGATGGTTCTTTGTGAGTCTTGTCCCATCTTTCTTTGTTGTAAGCAGTTGCTTCAGTAATGCAATGTTCAGCATGGACTCTAGCTTTTTCAAATATCTTAGCGTAAGTGAGGGCTGTGGGATGAATATCTACTGCATCTCTCTTCAGGAAGTTTCTGGGCAGGTTTGGCATCCATCCTTTCTCAAGAATAGCTGGTGCTTTTCCTGTGGTAGAGTGTATACTAGTGCTATATGCTAATTCAAGTATAGGTAATAATGAAACCCAGTCATGGGTATACCCATCATTGTCTTTGAATTCTAGCCCATAAGCACAAAATCTCCTCACCATATCTTCTAGTGTTTGTATCATTCTCTCTGCTAGACCATCAGTTTGCGGGTGGTAAGCGGTAGAAAAGGACAACTTGGTTCCCAACATACTATGCAGTCCTGTCCAGAATTCTGAAGTGAATTTGGGGTCTCTGTCAGAGATGATTATTCTGGGTATGCCAGTCCTTGGCATGACTCTGTTCCAGAAAAGGACGGCTGTGTCCATAGCAGAATAATCTTTGAAGCAAGGTATGAATATTGGTGATTTAGAGTATCTGTCCACTATTACTAGACACGCATTAAAACTAGCTGTACCTCCTGGGGATAGAGAGGTTACCCAATCCATGTTCACAATGTCCCAAGGCTTTGATGGTTCTTGGATCTTCATAAGCAAGCCAAACCTTTTTCCTGTAGCTTTGTTTGCTTTTTGGCACCTGTCGCATGACATACAATATTCAGAGGTGTCTTTTCTCCAATTTTGCCACCAGGCTGTGTCTTCCACTTTTTCTAGAGTCCTGTCTTCTGAGAAATGGCCAGAGTATACACTGTCATGGCACTCATGTAGAACCACATTGATACTATCCTTATCAGCAAGAACCAAGACTGAGTTATGTTTTTCCCTGTGATATATAAGACCATCAAACAGGGAGAATCTTCCTTCTGCATAAGATGTCTTCCAAGGTTCTTGTAAGGAATTTTTTAGCGCTGAATCTTTGTTATCCTTCGTGAGTATCTGGGATAAGATGACAGTGTTGTTATTCTTCTGATAACCCTCTTTCACAGTCTCAAAGAATTCATCTTTGAAAGAAGAAACGTGTATGCCCATGATAGGGAATCTATCATCATCCTTGTCTTCTGGATCGTAAGCAGGGTTGCTGGGGTCATTTGGTAAAGCCCATCTGCTTAAACCATCAGCATTCTTATGTATATTCCCATCTCTGTGTTCTATTTCCATGTTGGCTCTATATTCTTGTATTGCAATTTGCCACCTGAGCATATGCCTGTTAGGGGTTTTCATATTGAGTAAGGATCTCAAAGCAGTGCAATCTGTTACAACTTTGAAGTAACTACCATCCAGATAATAGTGCAACTTTTCCACTGCCCACACTAGACACAAGCACTCTAATTGGCTAGCTCCATACCTTGTTTCACTGTCTTTGAGTTGTCTAGAGATGAAAACAATTGGTCCTTCTTTTTTGATTCCATCAATTTTCTGGACTTGATGGAGGGCAGCACCTAGTCCTGTCATACTGGCATCTACATATAAGATGAAGGGGTATTTCCAGTCAGGGAATAGGAGCAAGGGAGCTGAAGTAAGTTTCTCTCTGAGGAGGTTATAGGCTGCAAGTCTCCTATGGGTCATTTCAAACAC